GGGACAGCTTTAGTCGACACTGGTGCCGACTTCTCCATTATCAGTCAGGACCTCGCCGACAGGTTCAGAAAAGTGAAGACGCCGTGGACGGGCCCTCATATAAGAACAGCAGGAGGCCAGTTATTGATGCCCTCGGGAAGATGTACCGCAAGAATTGACATCGGAGGTTCTCCTTTCACGGCGTCGTTCGTCGTTATCGCCGCATGCTGCAGAGACGTAATTCTCGGCATGGACTTTTTACGGGAATATGGTGCCGTCATCAACATACCAGAGAGCTTGTTTACGTTTTGCAACAGTTCGGGCTTACCCGATTCCCCAGAGGCGCGACCAAACCAACTGCGTCTTACTGATGACGATGTGGTTCTCCCTCCGAGGTCATGCACGCTTGTTTCTGTGGCCGCCGCTGCTCCGTTTGACGCCGAATGAGTTGCGGACCGAATAAGCTCGCTGCTCTTTACCCACGGTATTTCTGTCGCACGAGGTATCGTCAGAGTTGCTGCTGGACGCACGGACTTGCTGCTGACCAATTTTAGTGCTGAGCGCCGGCATCTTCCTAAAGGCACGGCTGTCGCTTACTTCGACGATGTCATAGATGCCGAAAGCTGCTTGGCGGTAGTCGACGAGTCGCTAAATCTTGATTCAGCGCCTGTTCTGGACGTTAGCATTACTTTGCCAAAAGACGACCGACGCAGACTCTTTGAGTTACTGGCCAAATTTCAAGACTGCTTTTCGACAACATCAAGAGTTGGCCGCACGCCTCTAACCAGGCATCGAATAATTACCGAGGAAACGGCGAGACCTATTCACCAGAACCCTTATCGCGTGGCTCCAAAAGAACGTGAAGCGATGCAACAGCAGGTAGACAGAATGCTTGAAGATGACGTCGTTCAGCCTTCACAGAGCCCCTGGGCGTCGCCTGTAGTCCTCGTTAAGAAAAAGGACGGCAGCCTGCGCTTCTGTGTGGATTACCGGAAGCTAAATCAGGTGACCAAGAAAGACGTATATCCACTACCGCGTATAGACGACTCTCTCGACAGACTTCGACATGCTCGATACTTCTCTTCAATGGACTTGCGGAGTGGATATTGACAAATCGAGGTGGACCCGAGAGACCGCGAGAAGACCGCTTTTGTGACACCAGATGGGTTATATGAATTTAAGGTCTTGCCATTCGGTTTGTGCTCAGCCCCTGCTACCTTTCAAAGACTCATGGATACCGTGCTTTCTGGGTTGAAGTGGAAAACATGCTTAGTATATCTGGACGACGTCATAGTGTTTTCCGCGACGTTTGACGAGCACCTTGAAAGACTTGAGGTGGTCTTACGAGCCATACAGTCCGCGGGCCTGACGTTGAAGCCTGAGAAGTGCCACTTTTGCTACGAAGAGCTGCGATTTCTTGGTCATGTCGTCAGTCATGCTGGTATTCGTCCCGATCCTGAAAAAATCGCAGCCGTAGAACAGTTCCCTATGCCGACCGATAAAAAGGCTGTCAGACGCTTTCTCGGCCTCTGCGCGTATTATCGACGATTTATCGCAGACTTCGCACGCATAGCATCACCACTAACTCGCCTAACAAGAGAAGACGTCACCTTTGAGTGGAATAACGAAGAGGAAGCTGCTTTTAACGATCTTCGCCAGCGACTACAAACACCCCCAGTCCTTGCCCACTTCGACGAGAGAGCCCCTACGATGCTTCACACCGATGCTAGCAATGTCGGTCTGGGAGCTGTGCTTGTGCAGCAGCAAGATGGCGCAGAAAGGGTAATCGCTTACGCGAGCAGAACGTTAACACGTGCTGAGGCTAATTACTCCACGACTGAGAAGGAGTGTCTCGCCGTGGTATGGGCGGTTACAAAATTTCGTCCGTATTTATATGGCCGCCCCTTCAAAGTAATTAGCGACCACCACTCACTGTGTTGGTTAACTAATCTTAAAGACCCTACCGGCCGATTAGCGCGTTGGAGTCTCAGGCTGCAGGAATTCGACATGACAGTCGTACATAAGTCAGGGAAGCGACATATGGACGCCGACTGTTTGTCCCGTTCACCCATTGAGTCGGCAACGCTACCCGAGGAGGAGGAAACATCATTTCTCGGTGTCCTCGACACGACCACCATTGCGCAGCAACAACGAGACGACGCTGAGTTGCTTGGCTTAATTACCTACTTGGATGGCAGATCTCGGAAGGCGCCAAGAGTTTTCGCAAGAGCGTTGTCATCATTTTGTTTACGTGGCGGAGTACTCTATAAAAGAAATTTTTCGCCGACGGGATCTGCCTATCTGCTCGTCATCCCAGCAGCCCTTCGCACCGAAGTACTGAAAGCATGCCACAACGAGGTTACCTCTGGCCACTTGGGTTACACAAGAACGTTGGCCAGGGTACAGCAAAGGTATTACTGGCCAAGATTAACCACAGCCGTGAAGCACCACGTCCGTACCTGTCTCGACTGCCAGCGACGCAAGTCACCGCCAACTAAACCAGCTGGCCTCCTGCAACCCGTACAGGTCCCAATGACTCCATTCCACCAGATCGGCATGGACATTTTGGGCCCACTCCCTACTTCTACTGCAGGCAACCGATGGGTTATCGTCACGACGGATTATTTGACCCGTTATGCCGAGACAAAAGCTATCCAGAGAGGTACAGCAGCGGAGGTGGCAAGATTTTTTATCGAGAATATTGTACTGAGGCATGGTGCACCAACCGTCGTAATCACAGACAGATAAACCGCATTTACAGCAGCTCTTTTGGACCATGTTTTGATGCTGAGTGGAACAACGCATCGTAAGACCACCGCATACCACCCACAAACAAACGGGCTGACAGAGCGTCTAAACAAAACCATTGAAGACATGCTTTCGATGTACGTTGACGTCGAACACAAAAACTGGGATACAATCTTGCCTTACATAACGTTTGCATACAACACGGCCAAGCAAGAAACGACCCGCATGACACCTTTCAGCCTCGTTCATGGACGGGAAGTACGAACCATGTTAGATGCAATGTTACCGCACGAAGGCGACGACATTGTCCCGGACGCCGACACGTTTACGGAACGCGCAGAAGACGCTAGGCAACTTGCACGTTTACGGATCAGCCAGCAGCAAGACTACGATGCAGACCGCTACAATGCTCACCGCAGAACAGTCGTCTACCAAACTGGCGACAAAGTATGGGTTTGGACGCCCATATGAAAACGAGGACTTTCCGAAAAACTTTTAAGAAGATACTTTGGACCGTACCTAGTTGTGCGACGACAAGCGATGTCACTTACGAAGTTGTTCCCGACTGTTCGTATAGTACAAGGCGTCGCCAGCATCATCCTGAACTCGTTCACGTAGTCCGCATGAAACCCTACGTCAGCGAGTGATTGCATGATACCTTAATTTAGAAAAAAAAACTGCATTACAGACTGCGCATCGGGGCGATGCTCTTTGGGAGAGAGGCAAATGACGCGTGTCTACATGTGGACGATAACGATGATGGGGCATTTAGTGGGCACGAGGTAGTGGGCCTCTAGCTTCTCTCGAGGCCGAAGAAGACGATCTTGTGGCTAAGCTGTCGAGGACACGCTGCTTTCGTCTTCCGAAGGTGTATCTGTGTTTTATTCGCGTTGTACCGCGACAATATATATATATATATATATGAACAGCAGGATGCAAGGGGTGAATATTATCGGGGCTCGACAATACAGGTCTCTGCAGAAGAAGGAAGAGGATGAAAAGGCAGGGAGTTTAACCGGACGCGCGTTAGGTTTCCTGTATACTCTTCACCGCGGGATGGGGTAAAGAAGTCAGAATACAGAGATAAGCCGTGGCCACTTGTGCTAACCACTTGAAGTTTAGCAAAACTGTGCTGTTCTAGGCAAGTCGAAAATAAGCATTCTCCATATTGGGACAGTTTAACAAATTTTATACGACGGGTCGGCAAATTACAGTTATGCGAATCTGATCGGAGAATACATACTTATGAAGAATTATTCGTACGACATCGGGCGTATCAGATTCTACTGTCAAAATTTGCGCGTGTCTGACATTCCTGCTGGATGCACCAGGAGCAAATGTTTGCTGAAAGACAGATTTTTAGCTGTCAGGGTCTTGATAAGGCCGAAATATTATCTATATCATAAGAGATTTATACTTAAACACCGTTGTGCTGCGTTACGAAGTGTAGATTGTAAAGGCGTGAAGACGATGACACACAAACACACACACGTGCGCGCGCGCGTGCGCACATGCACACCTGGCGTCTGCACTAAAAATATGCAACGCTAACAGTAGAGTCAACCTCTCTCTCTCTCTCTCTCTCTCTCTGTGTGTGTGTGTGTGTGTGTGTGTGTGTGTGTGTGTGTGTGTGTGTGTGTGTGTGTGGGTGTGGGTGTGGGTGTGTGTGTGTGTGTGTGTGTCTATTTCTTTATGGCTTTCACACAGCACTTCACTTCAGAACATGCTAAGCCAATTCCCACATATGCATAGCAAAATCGTATATTTTGAAAGAGGAACTGCACGTTACAATAAATTGCCGGGGTTTTACATACACCAACCAGGATATGACAATGAGGAATACTGTAATGAAGAGGTGCGCGAATTTCGACATCAATGCATTCTTTAACATGCTCCTAAATCTAAGTGCAACCACCTCTGGCATCTCACCTCCACCGACTTGTGACCGCAGTGCCCGCGAATCGCTGCAGTGAAGTTCGAGGTCGTTGTCGAATTCTGGCCACGACGGCACAGTATTACAAAACAACGTGTCTAAGGACCATGAGCAACGAGTGAAGAGAGTCACGAAATCTATTACACGCAGATAGTCATGAAGTGCGTTAATTATCAATAATGCTCAGAATCCAAACAAGTGTTTGCGAAGTTTTTTGTTACATGGATGTGAAAGTTACAATAAAAAATATGAATGTATGACAGGAAAGGTGATATGAATGGCAGGAATGCATGAACGGCTCGTAAAACTGAAGAGTGCGTGCGAGGGACGTGTAGTGTACCTGTTGCTTGGTGATGTATATCGGCTTGTTGAGGACAATCCATGTGACCGTCTCGTGACAGCCGGGCATGGTGAGCGACCCTTCGTACGTCATGAAGTGGTCCGTCTCCGGAAGCAGCTCCTTGATTGACAGGTGCTTCATGGCCGCCTCCTGGCCTGCATGTACGACAAAGGTACTCAGTTATACTGAAAAAAAAAAGCGTATTGCGCTGATTGCAAAGAGTTTCCTTGAATGTGCTGTTTGACGAACGCCCAATTCTGCATTTTAAACATCCCTCAAAGGTTGATAGATATCAAGATTAAAAAGTGTCCCACAAATATCATCCGATAAAAAGTCCGCGATGGCGCTTTAGGTCTTGTAGGGCATTAATAATGAAAAAAAGAAATACCCCCATTGCTTGCGTCAAAACAGGCTTTAAAACTTAACCCTCCGGGTGTGATAGACAGGGGCAATGTATGAGGAACAACTTTAATTATTTTTGGGAACTTCATAAAAGTTATCCCGCTCCATATTGTTGAATATACACTCCTGCAATGTGGCTCCAAAGAAGACTTGTGCGAATTAAATACTCAACTTTGTGCCAAAATCATAACCACACAGAAGAAGAAAACACATAGACGGGGCGGGCGCCTGCCTCGTCTACGTGTTTTCTTCTTCTGCGTTGTTGTAATTTTGGCACGAGGTTGACTACTTAATTCACACATGTACCAACTAGGCCAAGAGCGAGTTTTACTAAAACATGTGCACATTGCCACCAGTCGATGCTCTTGAAGGTATTAACCTCGCTATGCACATTCACCCGGGACGACGCACGTAGTGTTGCCTGTTATGTTTTGTCTATATGTGATATTTGAAGTACATCTCTGAAGTGAAAACTGCTGTTCTGAGCACATTTTGCTATCAGACATTACCAATCGTACCTTTAAGACCGGCTTCTGCACTGTACCAGAGTCATTTCATCCTTACACTGTACATCGCCTTTAATACGTGCAATATGCAGGTTGGGGTACAGTGTGATACACGTAAACTGTTAAACGTTTATTATATATGTCACTGGTGCATGATTGCTGTTACTTGTTTGTTGTTGTAACGTGTTGCATGTACATGCTTGGGCACTGTGTAATAATTTGTGGTATGTTTGAGCTCTGTTCAGGTACATGATGACACGCTGGAGTTATTTCGCGAACGTCGTTTGAGATTTCACTTTGAACTTGGTACGTAATATAATTCCCCCTCCCAATCATGCGTTTGACACTCCCGGCAGTGAAAAAGTATAGCCAACCTTTCTTTTTTTTTTCTTATGCTCCGACTTCTGCTTAAATCACATGAATGGAGAAAAAGACACACTTTAACTTCTCATGTCCAAACTGTGTAATCTCGCTCGCTCGTTTTTTTTTTTGTCTGTCACGTTAACTACTTTGAGGGTCTCACCCTGAAACTCTGAAAGACAATCATTAATGCCTCAATAATGCGCAGCAATAAAACAGCGATTTTGAGAATATTTCAAGAATGTGCATTGACGGAAGTCCTCTCATATTTCCTTTTTTTTACGGCTCACACCTTTTATTGGCATACTATGCTCCATGTCGCAACAGAGCTTCTTGTATATTGAGGTATAAATGAAAACAAGCTTAGTTAGCCCCAAGAAGAAGAAAGAAAGATAAATAACAAAATAAAAGGGAGCACGTGAATTTTTGAGAAATCTGTTGATTCGCTTTTCCTGAAAAAAGGTTGGGAAAAGCGCGCTTTTAATAGTCCAGCGCGGAGGTCCCATATTTCTCTTTTACAGCGAAAGCTGTAATGAGATCTAAGCTTGGGGTCCGCTCAGCGCCGTAGTTTTCCCCCGCCGCCGCTGCCACCACCGGTGTTCGTATAACCACGATCGCAGAAATAAGCAAAATAGAAACTTAGTCACTAAAGACACAGTGGGGCTCAAACCCGGATCCGCTGCCTCCTAACCCAGTATTCTGCCACTGAGCTACGCCGGTGCTTGGGACGTCTTCGCAAACATGCCTTAGGTAGGCTTGATGTCGGGAAAGGAATCGTGTTGATAGGAGTAATAAAGCGTTTTAGAACAGAAAAAGAACAAACAGTCGTCACACAATGCGAAAAGCGTAACAAGTGGGTCGTCCGATGCTCCAAACCACTACAAAAAATTGTTCTTGATCACCTATGAACTGTATCGCATGCTCACTTCAGGCATGATTCCTCATCGTCGTCAGCCACTGCATGAACAATGCACACAATATTCCTTGGAAGTGTTTAGCGGATGCCACGCTTCTTAGAAGAATGACGAAGGATAGCATAGCGAATGCTGGCCTTACTACCCAGAAATTATTAATATTGTTAAAGTCGTAGTGGATGTTCAGCAAGTGTGCTTACAGCAGTTACCCAGTGAGTGTTTAGAAAGGCTCTGAAAGGCCGCTCTTCTAGCTTTCGCTGTGACTGTGCTGCACGTTCCGCGCAGGCTTGGCATTTTTCTTTTTTTAATTTCTCCGAAGTCTTCCATCACCCTATCCATTCACCACGAATACTTTTTATCTCATCTTTATAAATAGCATTGCAATACTACAACATTCAGGGCAACAACTTTGATCAAGGAAAGAAACAGACAAAATAAAATAAAACAAAACGTGGGAAGTGGCCCAGCACTCAGTTCTCTGGAGCATTGTCTTCGACAGAGGCCTGACGAACTAGCACTACTGCGTTGTCTCTTTTAGTCCGACGCCCTCTATAGCTCTTCCACCGATTCTCGAGGTCACTGATCCGAGGCTCGGCTTTTAAGAAATGAAGCAAATGGCACGAGCCATTTCGACAATAACGTGTGAGGCGATTTCTTTGTTGAACACCAACGATCGATATTGAGCCCACTTATACTGCTGCTTAGACGGGGACAATTAAGATGTTTTGTCCTTTACGAAAGTTAAACAATGAAAAAACGAGTGCTACCAGAAATAACGTCACTTCTAGTGCGTGCCGTAACAAGCGAGCAAACTTAGCAGTGCTTTTGGTTGTTCGCTGACATTGACAATCATACAATGCCAGCCGACAATTTCCGTGTGCTTCTACATTTCTGTTATTGCTTTCGCAGTGCCGCAGGGAGTACTTTAAGATCTCCGTAATCGAGAGCGAGGGCGGCGAGTGAGAGAAGAAGTGACGTGAAAGAGAGAGATAAGGAGAGAGAGAGCATGGAAGAGAGAGTTAGAACAAAGAAAGACAAATGACAATTTCATGAACGCCGAGCCTGGAAACATACGCGTGCCATGCAAGAACAGGCGTCTCGTCGTGGAGTTTTTGCTGCCGTCTGCTATCTCTCATCTCTCGTCTGTCACTTACATAAACAAGGAGGGAACAACACTGGAGAGATCAAGGGGGAAAGAGTGGTTGGGGTAACGGGGAAGAGGGGGCAAATACAAATGGCTGTGACGGCGGAGGAGTTAAATTTATTGAGCCCTTTGTCTCTACCAAACCAAACACGCTTTGTTCTCGATTCCGCCCAAAGCTGTTTGTAGCTTTTCTTTCTTGTCTCACCAGCTCGGGAAAATCTCTCCCATGTGCCCCCCGCTGTACTGTCGGAGGGGGTGTCGTATATATTCGGGCAATCCTCCTCCGGCGCTGAACTGTGCGCGCCTGCCGCGTTCGTCTGTAAAGTGTACAACGTTGCAGAAGGTGGAAGGATGAAACAAAACATACACAGTAAATGAAGTAAGTAAGGATGTAGGAACGTGGAACGCCGGTGGCAGTGGGGAAGAAGGAAGGATCGGAGAAAATGCCGAGTGAGCTTTGGCGGCTACGAGAGCGAGGCAGCAAGGGTTGTAACAGGCCCGGCAGCTTGGCAGCGGAGGAGGACATTTCGGAATTTTGCCGTCGGCTGCATTTACAGACGACTAAACGCGTGCGCCGCTATGATTGATGAATACCGAGCCCCCCCCCCCCCCCCACCCTCTCGTCGTTACAGGGTGGCTAGCACCGAGGTGCGAGTCGCGCCTCTCTCCTGGAGTGGAAGTACTGAGGTTTTGCACCCTGCGTGAACATGAGGAACATTTTAACGTTGTGAAAGAGTCTAATGTTAGTTGGCCGCGTAGGGACGTGAGGTTGTTGCATATTTAATGACTCCGATGATGAAGGTGAAATCGAGTAAGTCTGTGAATGGTTGGTAACTGAAAACACAAGCAATTAATCAAAGACGATGATTCCATCTAGACGGCGTGACATGTTTGGTCGTGAGAAGTTCATACGACAAAGAATAGAGATAACTGCAAAGAATTTACAAATTGATGCACTAATATACTTATGTCCTCTACATTCGGTGAAGGTGGCGTATAAAACTTCAGGTGGCGATAATTGACCCGGAAGACCCCTCCTTCACAAGAGAGTGTCCTATATTCTTGGTTATGATGCGCACAACCAAAGAATCTAATGATTTTTTACCTTTGTGCAGAGTAAGACACAACAGTATAATTTACATAATATCAAGCCCCGTGGTTTGCACTCTCGCGAAACAAAGATGCGCACAAGGCATAACAAAAGCACTGTTGCCACACTTGTAGTAAAGAGCACGGATCAACAGCTGTGTTTGGAAAAATTGGGGAATGAAAATATGAGAAGTAAGGAACAGCGGCGAGGACAGCAGTATTCGTTCGTGTGGAAAAGTGCAAGAAACTCCAGATCAGTGCTGTTCATTTGCTCTCAGTTTGTGAGTTGAACTCTCTCTGGGTTATCCGACTGGTTAAATCAGCCATCGCCTAAACCCAAGTTCAAGTATACGTGAAGACAACGGCGCCCGTTCAAAGGGCTCAGCTACTTCGTCGTCATACCTGATGACCATCATGAACGTAGTGCGGAAGTTTCCGACGATGAAGACAGCCCACGGAGGTTCGTTCAGGAGCCCAACGTGGAAACTATGACTTAAAGTCACTCGTGCTATGTTTGCACTTAGCGTCTATACACGTTTACGAGTATTTAGTTTTCATAAACGGTCGTTTATATACTAATCACTCCTAATAATTCGCAGATATTGCAGAAAAAAAGGTACGACAAAAAAGTGTGGTTGCACAAAACTTGAATCTTCTAAAAAAGCTGTTGTGCCTCCCGTTGTCCGGTTTGCGATGTATACATGAATATACCATCATATATCGGCGCAACCATGTCAAGC